TAGAGGCAAGTGTTGTTAGCGAGCAGCACCTAGAGGCAAGTGTTGTTAGCGAGCAGCACCTAGAGGCAAGTGTTGTTAGTGAGCAGCACCTAGAGGCAAGTGTTGTTAGTGAGCAGCACCTAGAGGCAAGTGTTGTTAGCGAGCAGCACCTAGAGGCAAGTGTTGTTAGTGAGCAGCAGCTAGAGGCAAGTGTTGTTAGCGAGCAGCACCTAGAGGCAAGTGTTGTTAGTGAGCAGCACCTAGAGGCAAGTGTTGTTAGCGAGCAGCACCTAGAGGCAAGTGTTGTAGCGAGCAGCACCTAGAGGCCAAGTGTTGTTAGCGAGCAGCACCTAGAGGCAAGTGTTGTTAGCGAGCAGCACCACCTAGAGGCAAGGTGTTGTTAGCGAGCAGCACCTAGAGGCAAGTGTTGTTAGTGAGCAGCAGCTAGAGGCAAGTGTTGTTAGGGAGCAGCACCTAGAGGCAAGTGTTGTTAGTGAGCAGCACCTAGAGGCAAGTGTTGTTAGTGAGTAGCTGTACCTAGAGGCAAGTGTTGTTAGCGAGCACCTAGAGGCAAGTGTTGTTAGCGAGCAGCACCTAGAGGCAAGTGTTGTTAGCGAGCACCTCAGCAGGGCAAGTGTTGTTAGTGAGTAGCACCTAGAGGCAAGTGTTGTTAGTGAGCAGCACCTAGAGGCAAGTGTTGTTAGTGAGCAGCAGCACCTAGAGGCAAGTGTTGTTAGTGAGCAGCACCTAGAGCAAGTGTTGTTAGCGAGCAGCACCTAGAGGCAAGTGTTGTTAGTGAGCAGCAGCACCTAGAGGCAAGTGTTGTTAGTGAGCAGCACCTAGAGGCAAGTGTTGTTAGCGAGCAGCACCTAGAGGCAAGTGTTGTTAGCGAGCAGCAGCACCTAGAGGCAAGTGTTGTTAGTGAGCAGCACCTAGAGGCAAGTTTTGTTAGTGAGCATCACCTAGAGGCAAGTGTTGTTAGTGAGAAGCACCTAGAGGCAAGTGTTGTTAGCGAGTACCTCAGGGCAAGTGTTGTTAGTGAGTGAGCACCTAGAGGCAAGTGTTGTTAGTGAGCAGCACCTAGAGGCAAGTGTTGTTAGCGAGCAGCACCTAGAGGCAAGTGTTGTTAGCGAGCACCACCTAGAGGCAAGTGTTGTTAGTGAGCACCTCAGGGCAAGTGTTGTTAGCGAGCAGCACCTAGAGGCAAGTGTTGTTAGTGAGAAGCACCTAGAGGCAAGTGTTGTTAGTGAGCAGCACCTAGAGGCAAGTGTTGTTAGTGAGCAGCACCTAGAGGCAAGTGTTGTTAGTGAGCAGCACCTAGAGGCAAGTGTTGTTAGCGAGCAGCACCTAGAGGCAAGTGTTGTTTGTGAGCAGCAGCAGCTAGAGGCAAGTGTTGTTAGTGAGCACCTAGAGGCAAGTGTTGTTAGTGAGCACCTAGAGGCAAGTGTTGTTAGCGAGCAGCACCTAGAGGCAAGTGTTGTTAGTGAGCACCACCTAGAGGCAAGTGTTGTTAGTGAGTAGCACCTAGAGGCAAGTGTTGTTAGCGAGCAGCACCTAGAGGCAAGTGTTGTTAGCGAGCACCACCTAGAGGCAAGTGTTGTTAGCGAGCAGCACCTAGAGGCAAGTTGTTGTTAGCGAGCAGCACCTAGAGGCAAGTGCTGTTAGCGAGTACCTCAGGGCAAGTGTTGTTAGCGAGCAGCACCACCTAGAGGCAAGTGTTGTTAGCGAGCAGCACCTAGAGGCAAGTGTTGTTAGCGAGCACCACCTAGAGGCAAGTGTTGTTAGTGAGAAGCAGCTAGAGGCAAGTGTTGTTAGCGAGCAGCACCTAGAGGCAAGTGTTGTTAGTGAGCAGCACCTAGAGGCAAGTGTTGTTAGTGAGCAGCAGCTAGAGGCAAGTGTTGTTAGTGAGCAGCACCTAGAGGCAAGTGTTGTTAGTGAGCACCATCTCGGGGCAAGTGTTGTTAGTGAGCACCACCTAGAGGCAAGTGTTGTTAGTGAGCACCACCTAGAGGCAAGTGTTGTTAGTGAGCACCACCTAGAGGCAAGTGTTGTTAGTGAGCACCACCTAGAGGCAAGTGTTGTTAGTGAGCGAGCGACTTTGTAACCCCCCGGGTGACGATGTTTGCCCATCATGGCACCAGTTGAGGCTGAGTGGACCTAGGGGAGGCCCAGGACCCTGTGGATAATCGCCGTCACTGTGTGCGGTGGCGGTGGTGGTGGTGGCCGTGAGCGGGAATCGAACCCGTGTCACCGGGGTTCGCAGCGCTAACCACTTCGCCACCGCTCCCCACACCCGGACACACGCAGACACACACACACACACAGACACACACACACACACAGACACACACACACACAGACACACACAGACACACACACAGACACACACACACACAGACACACACAGACACACACACACACAGACACACAGACACACACACACAGACACATGCAGACACACACACAGACACACACACACAGACACACAGACACACACACAGCCACACACATACACACATACACACAGACACAGACACACACAGACACACACACACACAGACACACACACACAGACCACACACACAGACACACACAGACACACATACACACACACAGACACATACAGACACATACACACACACAGACACACACACAGACACACACACAGACACACACACACAGACACACACAGACACACACACACACAGACACACACACAGACACACACACACAGACACATGCAGACACACACACAGACACACACACACAGACACACACACACACACAGACACACACAGACACAGACACACACACAGACACACACAGACACAAACACACACAGACACATACAGCCACATACACACACACATACACACACAGACACACACACACAGACACACACAGACACACACACACACACATACACACACACAGACACATACAGACACATACACACACACACAGACACACACACAGACACACACACAGACACACACACACAGACACACACAGACACACACACACACAGACACACAGACACACACACACAGACACATGCAGACACACACACAGACACACACACGCAGACACACAGACACACACAGACACACAGACACATACACACACAGACACAGACACACACACACAGACACACACATACACACAGACACACAGACACACACAGAGACACACAGATACAGACACACACACATCCATAAACACATTTGCAACATCCACACACTCACGTGCAAATTCGTGAATGAGTTAGTGAATGAGTGAGTGAATGAGTGAGTGAATGAGTTAGTGAATGAGTTAGTGAATGAGTGAGAGTGAATGAGTGAGTGAATGAGTTAGTGAATGAGTGAGTGAATGAGTTAGTGAATGAGTGAGTGAATGATTGAATGAGTGTGTGAATGAGTGTGTGAATGAGTGCGTGAATGAGTTAGTGAATGAGTGAGTGAATGAGTTAGTGAATGAGTTAGTGAATGATTGAATGAGTGTATGAGTGAGTGAGTGTATGAGTGAGTGAGTGTATGAGTGAGTGAGTGTATGAGTGAGTGAAAGATTGAATGAGTGTGTGAATGAGTGAGTGAATGAGTTAGTGAATGAGTGTGTGAATGAGTTAGTGAACGATTGAGTGAATGAGTGAGTCAATGAGTAAGTGAATGAGTTAGTGAATGAGTGAGTGAAGAAGTGAGTGAATGAGTGAATGAGTGAATGAATGAGTGAATGAATAAGTGAGTGAATGATTGAATTAGTGTGTGAATGAGTGAGTGAATGAGTGAGTGAATGAGTGAGGGAATGAGTTTGTGAATGAGTGAGTGAATGAGTGAATGAATGAATGAGTGAACGAATGAGTGAATGAATGCGTGAGTGAATGAATGAGTGAAAGAGTGAGTGAATGGGTGAATGAATGAGTGAACTAGTGAATTAATGAGTGAGTGAATGAGTGAGAGAATGAACGAGTGAATTAATGAGTGAACGATTGAATTAGTGAATGAGTGAGTGAGCGAGTGAGTGAATGGGTGAATGAATGAGTGAACGAGTGAATGAATGAGTGAGTGAATGGGTGAATGAATGAGTGAACGAGTGAATGAATGAATGAGTGAATGAGTGAGCGAATGAGTGAGTGAATGGGTGAATGAATGAGTGAATGAGTGAGTGCATGAGTGAATGAGTGAGTGTATGAGTGTGTGAATGAATGAGTGAATGAGTGAGTAAATGAATGAGTCAATCATCTGTGAGTGTCGCAGGCAGGAGACTCATCGTGGTGCTGAAGCTGCTGGGACTGGGGGAGCAGGCGAGTGAATGAATGAATGAGTGAGTGAATGAGTGCATGAATGAGTGCATGAATGAGTGACTGAATGAGTGCATGAATGAGTGACTGAGTATGTGAATGAGTGAATGAATGAGTGAGTGAATGAGTGCATGAATGAGTGCATGAATGAGTGACTGAATGAGTGCATGAATGAGTGACTGAGTATGTGAATGAGTGAATGAATGAGTGAGTGAATGAGTGCATGAATGAGTGCATGAATGAGTGACTGAATGAGTGCATGAATGAGTGACTGAGTATGTGAATGAGTGAATGAATGAGTGAGTGAATGAGTGCATGAATGAGTGCATGAATGAGTGACTGAATGAGTGCATGAATGAGTGACTGAGTATGTGAATGAGTGAATGAATGAGTGAATGAATGAACGAGTGAATGAGTGTGTGAATGAGTGAATGAATGAGTGCATGAATGAGTGCATGAATGAGTGAATGAATGAGTGAATGAGTGAATGAATGAGTGAGTGAATGCGTGAATGAGTGTGTGAATGAGTGAATTAGTGAGTGAATGAATGAGTGAGTGAATGAGTGTGTGCATGAGTGAGTGAGTGAATGAGTGAATGAGTGAGTGAATGAATGAATGAGTGTGTGCATGAATGAGTGAATGAATGAGTGAGTAAATGAATGAGTGAATGAATGAGTGAATGAGTGAATGAACGAGTGAATGAACGAGTGAATGATCTGTGCAGGCAGGAGACTCATCGTGGTGCTCAAGCTGCTGGGACTGGGGGAGCAGGCGAGTGAATGAATGAGTGAGTGAATGAGTGCATGAATGAGTGCATGAATGAGTGACTGAGTATGTGAATGAGTGAATGAATGAGTGAATGAATGAACGAGTGAATGAATGAGTGAATGAATGAGTGCATGAATGAATGAGTGAATGAGTGAGTGAATGAGTGAATGAATGAGTGAATGAATGAGTGAATGAATGAGTGTGTGAATGAGTGAATTAGTGAATGAATGAGTGAGTGAATGAGTGTGTGCATGAGTGTGTGAATGAGTGAATGAATGAGTGCATGAATGAGTGCATGAATTAGTGAATGAATGAGTGAATGAATGAGTGAATGAATGAGTGAATGAATGAGTGAATGAATGAGTGTGTGAATGAGTGAATTAGTGAGTGAATGAATGAGTGAGTGAATGAGTGTGTGCATGAGTGAGTGAGTGAATGAGTGAGTGAATGAATGAGTGTGTGCATGAATGAGTGAATGATTGAGTGAATGAATGAGTGAATGAACGAGTGAATGAATGAGTGAATGAATGAGTGAATGATCTGTGCAGGCAGGAGACTCATCGTGGTGCTGAAACTTCTGGGACTGGGGGAGCAGGCGAGTGAATGAGTGGGTGAATGAGTGAATGAATGAGTGTGTGAATGAGTGAATGAATGAGTGAATGAATGAGTGAATGAATGAGTGAGTGATCTGTGCAGGCAGGAGACTCATCGTGGTGCTCAAGCTGCTGGGACTGGGGGAGCAGGTGAGTGAATGAATGAGTGAATGAGTGAGTGAATGAGTGCATGAATGAGTGCATGAATGAGTGGCTGAGTATGTGAATGAGTGAATGAATGAGTGAATGAATGAACAAGTGAATGAGTGTGTGAATGAGTGAATGAATGAGTGCATGAATGAGTGCATGAATGAGTGAATGAATGAGTGAATTAATGAGTGTGTGAATGAGTGAATGAATGAGTATGTGAGTGAATGAGTGAGTGAATGAGTGAATGAATGAGTATGTGAGTGAATGAGTGAGTGAATGAATGAGTGAATGAATGAGTGAATGAATGAGTGAATGAACGAGTGAATGAACGAGTGAATGAATGAATGGGTGAATGATCTGTGCAGGCAGGAGACTCATCGTGGTGCTCAAGCTGCTTGGTCTGGGTGAGCAGGCGAGTGAATGAGTGAGTGAATGAATGAGTGAATGAGTGCGTGAATGAGTGTGTGAATGAGTGTGTGAATGAGTGAATGAATGAGTGAATTAATGAGTGTGTGAATGAGTGAATGAATGAGTATGTGAGTGAATGAGTGAGTGAATGAGTGAATGAAAGAGTATGTGAGTGAATGAGTGAGTGAATGAATGAGTGAATGAATGAGTGAATGAATGAGTGAATGAATGAGTGAATGAATGAGTGAATGAATGAATGAATGAGTGAATGATCTGTGCAGGCAGGAGGCTCATCGTGGTGCTCAAGCTGCTTGGTCTGGGTGAGCAGGCGGGAGGCATCATGGAGGAACACGGTCTCAGTGGTGAGTGTCGTGGTGGTGAGGAGTGGTGAGGAGTGGTGAGGAGTGGTGAGGAGTGTGGTGGTGAGGAGTGGTGAGGAGTGTGGTGAGGAGTGGTGAGGAGTGTGGTGAGGAGTGTGGTGGTGAGGAGTGTGGTGAGTGTGGTGGTGAGTGTGGTGGTGAGGAGTGGTGAGGAGTGTGGTGAGGAGTGGTGAGGAGTGTGGTGAGGAGTGTGGTGGTGAGGAGTGTGGTGAGTGTGGTGGTGAGTGTGGTGGTGAGGAGTGGTGAGGAGTGTGGTGAGTGTGGGTGGGTGAGGAGTGTGGTGGTGAGGAGTGGTGAGGAGTGGTGAGTGTGGTGGTGAGAAGTGGTGAGTGTGGTGAGTGTGGTGAGTGTGGTGGTGAGTGTGGTGAGGAGTGGTGAGTGTGGTGGTGAGAAGTGGTGAGTGTGTGAGTGTGGTGAGTGTGGTGAGTGTGGTGGTGAGTGTGGTGGTGAGGAGTGGTGAGTGTGGTGGTGAGGAGTGTGGTGAGTGTGGTGGTGAGAGTGGTGGTGAGTGTGCTGAGTGGTGAGTGTGGTGGTGAGTGTGGTGAGTGTGGTGGTGAGGAGTGTGGTGGTGAGGAGTGTGGTGGTGAGGAGTAGTGAGTGTGGTGGTGAGGAGTGGTGAGTGTGGTGAGGAGTGTGGTGAGTGTGGAGTGGTGAGTGTGGAGTGGTGAAGAGTGTGGTGGTGAGTGTGGTGGTGAGTGTGGTGGTGAGTGTGGTGGTGTGTGTGGTGGTGTGTGGTGGTGAGTGTGGTGGTGAGTGTGGTGGTGTGTGTGGTGGTGTGTGGTGGTGAGTGTGGTGGTGAGGAGTGGTGAGTGTGGAGTGGTGAGTGTGGTGGTGAGGAGTGGTGAGTGTGGAGTGGTGAGGAGTGTGGTGGTGAGGAGTGGTGAGTGTGGTGGTGAGTGTGGTGGTGAGGAGTGTGGTGAGGAGTGGTGAGTGTGGTGAGTTGTGAGGAGTGTGGTGAGGAGTGGTGAGTGTAGTGGTGAGGAGTGGTGAGTGTGGTGGTGAGTGTGGTGGTGAGGAGTGTGGTGAGTGTGGAGTGGTGAGGAGTGTGGTGGTGAGTGTGGAGTGGTGAGGAGTGGTGAGTGTGGTGGTGAGTGTGGTGGTGAGGAGTGTGGTGGTGCGTGTGGTGGTGAGGAGTGGTGAGTGTGGTGGTGAGGAGTGTGGTGGTGCGTGTGGTGGTGAGGAGTGGTGAGTGTGGTGGTGAGGAGTGTGGTGGTGAGTGTGGAGTGGTGAGGAGTGTGGTGAGGAGTGGTGAGTGTGGTGGTGAGGAGTGGTGAGTGTGGTGATGAGGAGTAATGGTGAGTGTGGTGGTGAGGAGTGGTGAGTGTGGTGGTGAGGAGTGGTGGTGAGTGTGGTGGTGAGTGTGGTGGTGAAGAATGGTGAGTGTGGTGGTGAGGAGTGTGGTGAGGAGTGGTGAGTGTGGTGAGTGTGGAGTGGTGGTGAGTGTGGTGGTGAGTGTGGTGGTGAGGAGTGGTGAGTGTGGTGGTGAGGAGTGTGGTGAGGAGTGGTGAGTGTGGTAAGTGTGGTGGTGAGGAGTGTGGTGAGGAGTGGTGAGTGTGGTGAGTGTGGAGTGGTGGTGAGTGTGGTGGTGAGGAGTGGTGAATGTGGTGAGGAGTGGTGAGTGTGGTGAGGAGTGGTGAGTGTGGTGAGTGTGGTGAGTGGTGAGTGTGGTGGTGAGTGTGGTGGTGAGGAGTGTGGTGAGGAGTGGTGAGTGTGCTGAGTGGTGAGTGTGGTGGTGAGTGTGGTGGTGAGGAGTGGTGAGTGTGGTGGTGAGTGTGGTGGTGAGGAGTGTGGTGAGGAGTGGTGAGTGTGGTGGTGAGGAGTGGTGGTGAGTGTGGTGGTGAGGAGTGGTGGTGAGTGTGGTGGTGAGGAGTGGTGGTGAGGGAGTGGTGGTGAGTGTGGTGGTGAGTGTGGTGGTGAGTGTGGTGGTGAGTGTTGTGGTGAGGAGTGGTGGTGAGTGTGGTGGTGAGGAGTGGTGGTGAGTGTGTTGGTGAGTGTGGTGGTGAGTGTGGTGGTGAGTGTGGTAGTGAGTGTGGTGGTGAGGAGTGGGTGGTGAGTGTGGTGGTGAGGAGTGTGGTGAGGAGTGGTGGTGAGTGTGGTGGTGAGTGTGGTGGTGAGTGTGGTGGTGAGGAGTTGTGGTGAGTGTGGTGGTGAGGAGTGGTGGTGAGTGTGTTGGTGAGTGTGTTGGTGAGTGTGGTTGTGAGGAGTGGTGAGTGTGGTGGTGAGAGTGGTGAGTGTGGTGGTGAGGAGTGGTGGTGAGTGTGGTGGTGAGTGTGGTGGTGAGGAGTGGTGAGTGTGGTGGTGAGGAATGTGGTGAGGAGTGGTTAGTGTGGTGGTGAGGAGTGGTGGTGAGGAGTGTGGTGGTGAGTGTGGTGACGTGATGGTGTGGTGATGGTGTGGTGATGGTGACGGTGATGGTGTGGTGATGGTGTGGTGATGGTGACGCTGATGGTGACGGTGATGGTGATGGTGACGGTGATGGTGTGGTGACGGTGATGGTGATGGTGTGGTGATGGTGACGGTGTGGTGATGGTGACGGTGACGGTGATGGTGTGGTGATGGTGTGGTGATGGTGACGCTGATGGTGACGCTGATGGTGACGGTGATGGTGACGGTGATGGTGATGGTGACGGTGATGGTGTGGTGACGGTGATGGTGATGGTGTGGTGATGGTGACGGTGATGGTGTAGTGACGGTGATGGTGATGGTGTGGTGATGGTGTGGTGATGGTGTGGTGACGGTGACGGTGATGGTGTGATGATGGTGTGGTGATGGTGACGGTGATGGTGACGGTGATGGTTATGGTGACGGTGATGGTGATGGTGTGGTGATGGTGTGGTGATGGTGACGGTGATGGTGTGGTGATGGTGTGGTGACGGTGATGGTGATGGTGTGGTGATGGTGACGGTGACGGTGATGGTGACGGTGATGGTGTGGTGTGGTGACGGTGATGGTGTGGTGACGGTGATGGTGTGGTGATGGTGACGGTGATGGTGATGGTGACGGTGATGGTGATGGTGACGGTGATGGTGATGGTGTGGTGATGGTGTGGTGATGGTGTGGTGATGGTGTGATGACGGTGACGGTGATGGTGTGATGATGGTGTGGTGATGGTGACGGTGATGGTGTGGTGATGGTGACGGTGATGGTGATGGTGACGGTGATGGTGATGGTGACGGTGATGGTGATGGTGTGGTGATGTTGGCAGTGTAAGTAACGGTGTGGTGATGGTGACGCTGATGGTGACGGTGACGGTGATGGTGTGGTGACGGTGATGGTGTGGTGACGGTGACGGTGATGGTGACGGTGTGTCCAGGTAACGTGAGCGTGGAGACGGAGGCGATGTCTGCTCACCTGGTGAGCGAGGTGAGTGGGCTGGGCCGATCTACCCCCCCCCTTCCCCCACCAGGTAGTAAACACAAAGACAAAGCTCCCCCAGGTAGCCCCCACAGAGCGCTGTAGGGGCAAGTGGCTGTCAGCGGCGAGCACACTCACACACACACACTCACTCACACACACTCACTCACACACTCACTCACCCACACACCCACCCAGCCACACACTCACTCACACACTCACACACAGACTCACTCACACACTCACTCACCCACACACCCACACACCCACTCACTCACACACCCACACACCCACACACCCACTCAGCCGCACACTCACTCACACACTCACCCACACACTCACTCACAAACTCACCCACTCACCCACTCACCCACACACCCACCCACACACCCACACACCCACACACCCACACACCCACTCAGCCACACACTCACTCACACACTCACCCACACACTCACTCACAAACTCACCCACTCACCCACACACCCACCCACACACCCACACACCCACTCACTCACACACCCACACACCCACTTACTCACCCACTCACCACACACACTCACCCACCCACTCACACACTCACCCACTCACTCACACACCCACACACTCACACACACACACACCCACACACTCACCCACACACCCACCCACTCACTCATTTACTCACTCACCCACTAACCCACTCACCCACACACCCACACTCACCCACACACCCACACACTCACCCACACACTCACCCACACACCCACACACTCACCCACACACACACCCACACACTCACCCACAAACCCACATACTCACCCACACACCCACACACTCACCCACACACTCACCCACACACCCACGAACCCACTCACTCACCCACTCACCCACCGACTCACCCAACCACCCACCCACACACCCACTCACCCACCCACTCACACACCCACCCACACACCCACTCACACACCCACCCACCCACACACCCACCCACCCACCCACACACCCACTCACCCACACACCCACCAACACACCCACACACCCACCCACTCACACACCGACCCACCCACACACCCAATCACCCACACACCCACCCACACACCCACTCACCCACCCACTTACCCACCCACTCACCCACACACCCACCCACACACCCACCCATCCACCCACCCACCCACTCACTCACTCACCCACCCACCCACCCACCAACCCACCCACCCACCCACTCACCCACCCAAACACCCACCCACCCACTCACCTACTCACCCACCCACTCACCCACCCACACACCCACCCACTCACCCACCCACCCACCCACTCACCCACCCACTCACCCACACACCCACCCACTCACCCACCCACCCACACACCCACTCACACACCCACCCACCCACCCACTCACCCACCCACACACCCACTCACCCACACACCCACCAACACACCCACACACCCACCCACTCACACACCGACCCACCCACACACCCAATCACCCACACACCCACCAACACACCCACTCACCCACCCACTTACCCACCCACTCACCCACACACCCACCCACACAACCACCCACCCACACACCCACCCACCCACCCACTCACTCACCCACCCACCCACCCACCAACCCACCCACCCACTCACCCACCCACCCACCCACCAACCCACCCACCCACTCACCCACCCACCCACCCACTCACTCACCCACCCACACACCCACCCACACTACTCACCCACCCACTCACCCACCCACTCACTCACCCACCCACTCACCCACTCACCCACCAACCCACTCACCCACCCACCCACACACCGAGCAATGCCGAGGGCGGTGCCGTTCACGCCCGGTACACAAAGGGGGCGTGTCCGGCCCCGCCCCTCCCCACGGTGACGCGCCGAGCGTCACCTTGCGGGGGCGTTTCCGGCCACGCCCCCCCCCCCAAGGTGACGCGCCGACCGTTGGACGGCAACTCCCTTAGGAGCTGATCCTTGCCCAGTCCCCTGACCGGTCAGCTGTGGCCCCCATCCTCGCTGGCACTAGCAAACCGGTTTTGCTGAAGACATTTTTCGTTCACGGACCGAGGTGGGGGGATGTGGTGGGGGTGTGAGGTTCATCATTGGGCCTTCCACCCCACTCCCACCCCCCCCGTTTCAATTAAGCTCTCCAACTAGAACGTTTTGTTTGTGTACCCATTGTGGCTACTGGGGGTGGGGGAGTTAGTCAGCTCGTGGGCTCAACATAAAACCGCGGCCACGTGCCAGAGGCCCCGGTTTCTTAACACTGCATCGGTGGCTTTCTGTTTTGGCGATTTCGAAAGCGTCTTTTTTTTTTATTTAAAGCTTTCGTGACTGCAGTAATTCATGTTCTTAGCTCTTTCGGTAAAGTCACCACGTTGAAGGGAAACAATAAAATAATAAAATATATATAAAACAATAAAAATCATCACGACGTTTCGACCATAACACAAACGGTCGTCATCAGGTGTGTCGGTTTGCATAAATGTATTTATTTTTAAACGGTGTATTTATTTATTTATAATTTTAAAAAAAACGTCCGCGCCATGCGCAGCGATTTGGCAGTTTATTTAGAAGGACGAGTCCATCTATGTTCTGAAAAGAGGAGGGGGGAGACGAAAAATTAATGTATGCTGTCTGAAAGCCACCGTAAGCGTGAACAATCAATTAAGACCTGAAATGGTTTATCAAATCTTTCCAATGATTGCTAAGCCCAGAATCCAAAGCAGACCTTAAACACGGTAGGACCAACACCTCGGCCGTGGCAGATCATTGTTATAATTCAGTAGGCTCACGTGACATTGACTTTTCCAAGACAGAGGTTCTTTGTAAGCCATCTGGCTACCATGAGAGATTCGTTCATGAGGCTATCCACCATATACAAGCACAGAGACAATTTCAACCGAGAAGATGGATTCTGGGCTTAGCAATCATTGGATAGATTTGATAAACCATTTCAGGTCTTAATTGATTGTTCACGCTTACGGTGGCTTTCAGACAGCATACATTAATTTTTCGTCTCCCCCCTCCTCTTTTCAGAACATAGATGGACTCGTCCTTCTAAATAAACTGCCAAATCGCTGCGCGTGGCGCTGACGTTTTTAAAATAAATAAATAAATAGGTGCACCGTTTAAAAATAAATAAATGCGAACCGACACACCTGATGAGGACCGTTTGTGTTACGGTCGAAACGTCGTGAGGATTTTTATTGTTTTATCTATATTTTATTATTTTATTGTTTCCCTTCAACGTGGTGACTTTTACCGAAAGAGCTAAGGAAACGTCTTTTTCTCTTTTTTTGGTTTGGCCACGTTTTTTTGTTCATTGTAGTACGGAGTTAGACTGGCGGCCTTAATCTTGGCTGTCTTGCGGTTGTTGTTGTTGTTGGTGTTGTTGTTTGACCTTTGCATCCCGCTGGGATTATTTTTTTTGCACGCTGTTGGTGTACACTGTGGATTTTTTCAGGGATAATTTTTTTTGCCGGTTTTTGCGTGTGTCACGGATTTTCTGTTTTTTTTTTGCGGCAGAGTTAACGCGCGGGCACTTTAAAAGACGTGGTGGTTTTTTTCCTCCCCCCACCTTGTTCGCGTTTTAAGTTTTTTTTTTCGTTTGCTTGTTGCGACTTGCACTCCGATTCAAGAGCCCAATGGCTCACGGGGGCTATATCAGAATCAATGGAATCTATGAAACTATGAACTGACAGGCCCCGGACAGGTAGCGGTCCGGGGCCTGGGGGGTGGGGGGGGGGAGGCCTGCCTTGGACGGCGGCGGCCGCGGCCGCGGCGGCGGCCGTCAGGGACTGACCTGCGGCCGTCTCTCTGGCCGTGTTTGTACACCGGCGTCCCCGCTTGGGGCGCAGACGGAGTTGGCGAGAGACACAGAGAGAGAGAGACGGAGAGACGGAGAGAGATAGAGAGACACAGAGAGAGACACAGAGAGATAGAGAGAGACGGAGAGAGATAGAGAGAGAGACACAGAGAGAGACGGAGAGAGATAGAGAGACAGAGAGAGACGGAGAGAGATAGAGACAGAGAGAGAGACAGAGAGAGACACACAGAGAGAGAGACGGAGAGAGACAGAGAGAGAGACGGAGAGAGAGACGGAGAGAGACAGAGAGAGAGAGAGACAGAGAGAGACACAGAGAGAGAGAGACGGAGAGAGATAGAGAGACAGAGAGAGAGACAGAGAGAGACAGAGAGAGACACAGAGAGAGAGACAGAGAGAGATAGAGAGAGACAGAGAGAGACAGAGAGAGACACACAGAGAGACACAGAGAGAGACAGAGAGAGACACACAGAGAGACACAGAGAGAGACAGAGAGACACAGACACACAGAAAGACAGAGACACACAGAGAGACACAGAAACACACAGAGATACAGAGACACAGAGAGAGACACAGAGAGAGAGAGAGAGACGGAGAGAGAGAGAGACTAAGAGACACAGAGAGACACAGAGACACACAGAGACACACAAAGAGACACACACACACACAGAGAGACACAGAGACAGAGACACACACACACAGAGATCCACACGGAGACAGTGTCTCTGTGTGGACTATCGCCACCCCCCCCTCACCCCCCCCTCACCCCCCCCCTCACCCCCCCCTCACACCCCCCTCACCCCCCCACACCCCCACCCTCCCCCAGCTGCGCAGCTACTTCCGCCTCACACCGGAGTTGTATGGCGCCGTGCTGGTGGAGAGGGACGGCGTGGCCCTGGCCTGGTTCCCAGCGCCGGTCGTGGCTGTCGCTCTGTTCTACGAGCTGCTGGATGGGGGGCACGGCGGGGGGGGGCTGCCCCCTTGCCCCGAGCACGACCACAACTACGGCCACTACGGCCACTACCCACCCTACTAGCCAGCTACCCAGTTAGCTCCTCACACTGCCAGCCAGCTACCCAGTTAGCTCCTCACACTGCCAGCCAGCTACCCAGCTAGCTCCTCACCCTACTAGCCAGCTACTCACACTACTAGCCAGCTACCCAGCTAGCTCCTCACACTGCTAGCCAGCTACCCAGCTAGCTCCTCACACTGCTAGCCAGTTACCCAGTTAGCTCCTCAGACTACGAGCCAGCTACTCACACTACCAGCCAGCTACCCAGTTAGCTCCTCACACTGCCAGCCAGCTACCCATTTAGCTCTTCACACTGCTAGCCAGCTACCCAGTTAGCTCCTCACACTACGAGCCAGCTACTCACACTACCAGCCAGCTACCCAGTTAGCTCCTCACACTGCTAGCCAGCTACCCAGTTAGCTCCTCACACTACTAGCCAGCTACCCAGTTAGCTCCTCACACTGCTAGCCAGTTACCCAGTTAGCTCCTCACACTACTAGCCAGCTACTCACGCTACTAGCCAGCTACCCAGTTAGCTCCTCACACTACTAGCCAGCTACTCACACTACTAGCCAGCTACCCACCCAACTAGCCAGCTACCCAGTTAGCTCCTCACACTGCTAGCCAGCTACCCAGTTAGCTCCTCACACTGCTAGCCAGCTACCCAGTTAGCTCCTCACACTACTAGCCAGCTAACCAGTTAGCTCCTCACCCTACCAGCCAGCTACCCAGTTAGCTACTCACACTACTAGCCAGCTACCCAGTTAGCTCCTCACACTGCTAGCCAGCTACCCAGTTAGCTCCTCACACTACGAGCCAGCTACTCACACTACTAGCCAGCTACCCAGCTAGCTCCTCACACTGCTAGCCAGCTACCCAGTTAGCTCCTCACACTACTAGCCAGCTACTCACGCTACTAGCCAGCTACCCAGTTAGCTCCTCACCCTACTAGCCAGCTACTCACACTACTAGCCAGCTACCCACCCTACTAGCCAGCTACCCAGTTAGCTCCTCACACTGCTAGCCAGCTACCCAGTTAGCTCCTCACACTGCCAGCCAGCTACCCAGTTAGCTCCTCACACTACTAGCCAGCTACTCACACTACTAGCCAGCTACCCACTTAGCTCCTCACACTGCTAGCCAGCTACCCAGTTAGCTCCTCACACTACTAGCCAGCTACTCACACTACTAGCCAGCTACCCAGTTTAGCTCTTCACACTACTAGCCAGCTACCCAGTTAGCTCCTCACACTACTAGCCAGCTACCAGTTAGCTCCTCACCCTACTAGCCAGCTACCCAGTTAGCTCCTCACACTACTAGCCAGCTACCCAGTTAGCTCCTCACACTTCCAGCCAGCTACCCAGTTATCTCCTCACACTACTAGCCAGCTACCCAGCTAGCTCCTCACCCTACTAGCCCCTACCCAGATATCTCCTCACTCTACTAGCCAGCGACCCAGTTATCTCCTCACACTACTAGCCAGCTACCCAGCTAGCTCCTCACCCTACTAGCCCCTACCCAGTTATCTCCTCACTCTACTAGCCAGCTACCCAGTTAGCTCCTCACCCTACTAGCCAGCTACTCACACTACTAGCCAGCTACCCAGTTAGCTCCTCACATTACTAGCCAGCTACCCAGTTAGCTCTTCACACTACCAGCCAGCTACCCAGTTAGCTCCTCACACTAACCAGCCAGCTACCCAGTTAGCTCCTCACACTACTAGCCAGCTACTCAGTTAGCTCCTCACACTACTAGCCAGCTACCCAGTTAGCTCCTCACACTACTAGCCAGCTACCCAGTTAGCTCCTCAAAACTACTAGCAGCTACTCACGCTACTAGCCAGCTACCCAGTTAGCTCCTCACACTACCAGCCAGCTACCCAGTTAGCTCCTCACCCTACTAGCCAGCTACCCAGTTAGCTCCTCACCCTACTAGCCAGCTACCCAGTTAGCTCCTCACACTACTAGCAAGCTACTCACACTACTAGCCAGCTACCCAGCTAGCTCCTCACCCTACTAGCCAGCTACCCAGTTAGCTCTTCACACTACCAGCCAGCTACCCAGTTAGCTCCTCACCCTACTAGCCAGCTACTCACACTACTAGCCAGCTACCCAGTTAGCTCCTCACACTACTAGCCAGCTACTCACACTACCAGCCAGCTACCCAGTTAGCTCCTCACCCTACTAGCCAGCTATCCAGTTAGCTCTTCACACTACTAGCCAGCTACCCAGTTAGCTCCTCACACTACTAGCTAGCTACCCAGTTAGCTCCTCACACTACTAGCCAGCTACCCAGTTAGCTCCTCACTCTACCAGCCAGCTACCCAGTTAGCTCCTCACACTACTAGCCAGCTACTCACACTACTAGCCAGCTACCCAGTTAGCTCCTCACACTACTAGCCAGCTACCCAGTTAGCTCCTCACCCTACTAGCCAGCTACCCAGCTAGCTGCTCACCCTACTAGCCAGCTACTCACACTACTAGCCAGCTACCCAGCTAGCTACTCACTCTACTAGCCAGCTACCCAGTTAGCTCCTCACTCTACTAACCAGCTACCCAGCTAGCTCCTCCCACTACTAGCCAGCTACCCAGTTAGCTCCTCACACTACTAACCAGCTACCCAGTTAGCTCCTCACACTACTAACCAGCTACCCAGTTAGCTCCTCACCCTACTAGCCAGCTACCCAGTTAGCTCCTCACCCTACTAGCCAGCTACCCAGTTAGCTCCTCACCCTACTAGCCAGCTACCCAGTTAGCTCCTCACCCTACTAGCCAGCTACCCAGTTAGCTCCTCACACTACTAGCCAGCTACCCCAGCTAGCTCCTCACCCTACTAGCCAGCTACCCAGCTAGCTCCTCACCCTACTAGCCAGCTACCCAGCTAGCTTCTCACACTACTAGCCAGCTACCCAGTTAGCTCCTCACTCTACTAGCCAGCTACCCAGTTAGCTCCTCACACTACTAGCCATCTACCCAGCTAGCTCCTCACCCTACTAGCCAGCTACTCACACTAACTAGCCCGCTACCCAGTTAGCTCCTCACCCTACTATCCAGCTACCCAGTTAGCTCCTCACCCTACGAGTTTGGTTTGGTGCCTGCATTAACATTAATTATGATAATGATGCGATGTGTTGCCCGCATTAACATTAGTTACGATAATCCGCGCAAATAGTTTCCTGATGTCAACATTACGTATTCCGAATGTAATCTGTTTTTTTCCGATAGTCATACTTATTGTGATATCGAGCGGCCAGGTACTTCTTAAAATGTTTTATGGCAATAAATTATGTTAAACGGTGCGTGGTTTAACTTCATATTCTTGGTTGATTCGGTAAAGTCACCACGTGGAATTTTATTGTTTTATAGTTTTTTTATTATTATTATTATTTCATTGTTTCCCTTCTACTAGGGGGCACCCCCAGTGGCAGCTGTCCCTGTGTGTGTCTGTAGCCTAGGGGGTACCCCCAGTGACAGCTGTCTCTGTGTGTGAGTCTGTAGCCTAGGGGACACCCCCAGTGACAGCTGTCTCTGTGTGAGTCTGTAGCCTAGGGGACACCCCCAGTGACAGCTGTCTCTGTGTGTGTCTGTAGCCTAGGGGGCACCCCCAGTGACAGCTGTCTCTGTGTGTGTCTGTAGCATAGTGGGCACCCCTAGTGACAGCTGTCTCTGTGTGTGTCTGTAGCCTAGGGGGCACCCCCAGTGACAGCTGTCTCTGTGTGGGGCTGTAGCCTAGGGGACACCCCCAGTGACAGCTGTCTCTGTGTGAGTCTGTAGCCTAGGGGACACCCCCAGTGACAGCTGTCCCTGTGTGTGAGTGTCTGTAGCCTAGGGGGCACCCCCAGTGGCAGCTGTCTCTGTGTGTGAGTGTCTGTAGCCTAGGGGACACCCCCAGTGACAGCTGTCTCTGTGTGGGTCTGTAGCCTAGGGGATACCCCCAGTGACAGCTGTCTCTGTGTGTGTCTGTAGCCTAGGGGGCACCCCCAGTGACAGCTGTCTCTGTGTGTGTCTGTAGCCTAGGGGGCACCCCCAGTGACAGCTGTCTCTGTGTGTGTCTGTAGCCTAGGGGGCACCCCCAGTGACAGCTGTCTCTGTGTGTGTCTGTAGCCTAGGGGACACCCCCAGTGACAGCTGTCTCTGTGCGAGTCTGTAGCCTAGGGGACACCCCCAGTGACAGCTGTCTCTGTGCGAGTCTGTAGCCTAGGGGATACCCCCAGTGACAGCTGTCTCTGTGTGTGTCTGTAGCCTAGGGGACACCCCCAGTGACAGCTGTCCCTGTGTGGGTCTGTAGCCTAGGGGACACCCCCAGTGACAGCTGTCTCTGTGTGTGTCTGTAGCCTAGGGGACACCCCCAGTGACAGCTGTCTCTGTGTGTGTCTGTAGCCTAGGGGGAACCCTCAGTGACAGCTGTCTCTGTGTGAGTCTGTAGCCTAGGGGGCACCCCCAGTGACAGCTGTCTCTGTGTGAGTCTGTAGCCTTGGGGGCACCCCCAGTGGCAGCTGTCTCTGTGTGTGTCTGTAGCCTAGGGGACACCCCCAGTGACAGCTGTCTCTGTGTGTGTCTGTAGCATAGAGGACACCCCCAGTGACAGCTGTCTCTGTGTGAGTGTCTGTAGCCTAGGGGACACCCCCAGTGACAGCTGTCTCTGTGTGGGTCTGTAGCCTAGGGGGCACCCCCAGTGGCAGCTGTCTCTGTGTGAGTCTGTAGCCTAGGGGACACCCCCAGTGACAGCTGTCTCTGTGTGAGTGTCTGTAGCCTAGGGGACATCCCCAGTGACAGCTGTCCCTGTGTGTGTCTGTAGCCTAGGGGGCACCCCCAGTGACAGCTGTCTCTGTGTGAGTCTGTAGCCACTATACACTACACTATACACTACACATTACTATACACGACACTATGCTCTGCACATTACTCTACACTACACTATGCACTACACTATACACTACACTATACACTACATATTACTATACACTACACTATACACTACACTATACATTGCACATCACTATACACTACACATTACTATACACTACACTATACACTACACATTACTATACACTACACTATACACTACACATCACTATACACTACACTATACACTACACATTACTATACACTACACA